TGCTGAGAAGATTTTTTTTTTTTTAATGACTGAGAAAACTTGTTTACAGCTCCAGCATTTAAGGAAAGTGTTCAAGGCCAGATATGCCTCAGAGATATTTAACCAGTAAGCCTTAGTTGTACATAAATACTTTTGTGTCAACAAAAACTTTCAGCTCTCACAGAAGACAGTTATTCAACATTTTTTGATGTGCCACAGTTTCCAGTTTTTCGATATTTTTTTGCTTTACATCTAAGTTTGGGTTTGTATTTTTTCCTTCTAACTCTTCATGTGGCAGACTCATCTATGTTTTCACAGCTTTCTCATTTACAGAAAAGAACACCTGTTCTCCTGATACCATTGTCATGTATTAGGCTGATGCTCTGTTGTCTTCCGCCTGGAACTGAATTGCTTGGTGGAACATTTGCTTTCACTGTTTGTGCAATATGCATTTATTTCTTATATGAATGCTTTAAAGTCAATTGAGATTAGATTCTTTTAAGTCCTATTTTCTGCCTTTGTTGGTCACTTTTTTGTTTTTGTTTGTTTTTTATTATTGTAGTGTATAATCCTCACATTCATTTTAGCAGGTACTGAGTGATGCTGTATATATAAATAAGTGTATTGTTTTGATTTTTAGACCACCACATGGCATGCTTGACTATTTTCTTAATTGAAATGTCTGTTAATGCAAAGTAGGCTACTCCATAATAGTGTTAAAAACAACATTTGCTAACAATGTGATATAAAGACTTAAAAAGTAACACATTATGTGGGGCCCTATCTTTACAAAAGTTTTCTACTGTAAAGTGCTTTTACTTTTATTTTCAGTTTTCATTTGATAGTATTCAACCACAACTAAAGTTGCATAAGATAATTGCTTCACATTTCACATACCTATATTTATCTGAGTGCTGTCTAAAACTGTTGTGCTAGCCAAAGTAATGCTATGAAATCATTTGCAGACTTAACCGTGAGTTAATGTTAAATGCACTGTTATTGCCATGTGAAGAGGCATTGACTTTGATACCACCATCATGTTCAGACCATTTTATACATTTCAGTGGCCTTTTAAAAAAAAAAAAAAAAAAGCAAAACCAAGTACATAGTGAAGATGGCTTTTATTTGGACAAATAGCTTTTATATTTTCATCAAACCATGCAAAAAAATACCACATCTTTCTGGCACATAACTGTCTCCTTAACCACTGAACAGTTCAGCCATTTGAATAAATTGTACATTGTAAAGCTTATAGTAGCTAATTGTATTATTGATTGTATTGTATACTATATTAAATGTGAATTTGTACCCCTTCATTTTAAAAGGTCATTGTGTTCTACTGCCTATTTTAGATTACTTTGGGGCTGGGAAAGGGTGTTTTGGTAAGCAGGATTTTAAGTCCTCTCTCTCTTGATTGGTTTTATGAAGATATAAGGTTATGCTCTTACTACCAAGCTCAGGATTCTTGATTTTTAAAGGTACAAGGATAGTTATGGGAATTTTATTTTTGGTTATATTTGAACTGTATGAATGGTGGGTCTGAATATAGAGAATTTCCATGGTCTTATGTGGACGTAAAATATACAGATAATTGATCAGTTTGAGTGACTGCAACATGTTCTGGTTGCACAACAGTTAGGCATGCTAAGGATTATATTTGTGAAGTTTGGATGCCTGTGAAGAATGATTAAATACATGTTTCTAATATTTTAGTGTTTTGTATTTAGGTTATTTATTCTTTGTATCTAAAACTGAACAGCTACTGTGCTATATTGATTTTATTGGTAGTATTGAGCAGACCTTGTTTCTGCATGAAACTAGTTGCAAAACCCACTATTTTGGAAATAAAAATGTATTTTGACATATACAAATAAAATGAATAAAACTATTTTAAATGTGTGACCTTTTACTGAAGACACTTAAATTTTGTTCTGAGATATTTAAATTCTGCATGGGTATTTTTTCACTAATTGCTTTACTTGGATTCCAATTTGAATAATTTTCGAAATTGTAATATTGTGATAATTTGCACAACATTGTACATGCACATCTGTAAATGCAATCTTAATTGCCATATTTATGCAATCTGTGTACCAATTTCGACAAATGTTTATATATTTTACATAAAGCTGTCTGTATGCAGAATCTGAGAACTAGTTTTTTTATGATAATAACTGGGTAAAAAATAATAGCAAGTTTCAAGATAGTAGCTTTGTAGCATGAGATTTCATTCACATAGACATTTTGTGGTTTCTAAATTAAACCTGTGCTTTTTCTTAGCTGCAGACATAGGCTTGGGAATACATATAAAGATAATACTCCATTGAAATGTAAAATAACACATCATTCCTCAACCTGGGTTTGTCCCAAGTTCAGCCCCTCATCTACTTACACATCTATAACTACATAAAAGAGCCACTTCTAATTTGGGGAACTTGGGTAAAGGACTTGTGGCAAGCCTTTGTTTACATTAATATAAGAATTCAATTCTATTTTTTCTATTTTCAGTACTTGTTTTCCCTAAGCATGCTCACAGAACTAAGAACATTACTGTTGTTTGTCCTGCATAAAAGAATTTCACGTGCACATACTTCAAAGCCAAATGAAAAGCAGCTATAGAACTGTGTCAGAGAGGTCTCATACAAAAAGTAGGTATTTACCAATCCACTCGACTGCTTTACTCTTTTGCTTAGAAGTTTGTTATCACTTAGTCTTTCCTGGCCAATCTGAACAGTCATGACTCTCCATGTCATAAGTTGTCATAAGAAGAAAATCATCCAGAGCCCAGTTCTCTTCAGACCAGGACCATGTGTTTCCCTTAGGACACAATAGTCTTGTAGTTTGCCCTCCACTTCATCACTAGAAGCAGAATACAGCAGACTCCACTAACAACTATGAACTACCCATTGGTGAAAACCTTTGGCCACAAACATGAAGTCTGACTGATGAGCAGTCTTTTCTGTGATGTCCACGTGTTATACTGTATACATGTAATCTCTGTGCGTGACTGCGTGTACACAAGCTGCTGTCCAAAAAGGATTGAGTATAGAATAAAATTGTTTTGCCTGTTGTATATAGCTCTAGATACCTAAATACATTGCTTGACTCATTTTGGAAAGGTTCTCTGGGGTTAAATGCTTTGGAAATGATAGATTGCTTTCTCTGAGGTAAGTGACGGAGAGTGTCTTACTTCTTCTGTTCTTTGCCTACAAAATGACCAGATTACAAAGCAATAAATTTAGGGCTTCTGGGTGGTTCATTTAAGCATCTGACTTCGGCTCAGGTCATAATCTCACAGTTGGTGAGTTCGAGCCCCGCTTATCTCTCTTTTGTTCCTTGTTCACTTGCACCCTCTCTCTCTCTCTCAAAAAAATAAAAAATGAAAATAAATAAAAATAGAAGCATCGAGGAGTCAGGAGTTTAAGATTTTATAATAAGGTAACATAATTTGCTTATTACCATAACTTGAAATTTTATTACAAGATGTTTTTGTTTATTTTTGGTTTTGTTTTTTAAGAGACTGAGGAGGAACAGAGAGAGGGAGAGAGAATCCCAAACAGGCTCCGCATTTATCAGCACTGAGCCCAACACAGGACTTGAACTCATGGACCTTGGATGACCTAAGCCAAGACCAAGAGTCAGACAGACACTTACCCAACTGAGCCACCCAGGTGCCCTTATTACAAGTTGTTTAAAGTTTATTATAAGTGAGCTTTTCTGAGCAGGTCTGTCACAACTTGCCACTGCTTGAATTCCAATAAATATATAGGTCACAAAAATTAACTAGGTTTTCATTTTAAAAGGTAAATGAAAGGGATGCCTGAGTGGCTCAGTCAGTCAAGCATCCAACTCTTGGTTTCGGCTCAGGTCCTGATCTCACAGTTCATGAGTTCTAGCCCCAAGTCATGGGGCTCTGTGCTGACAACACAGACCTTGCCTGGGATTCTGTCTGTCCCTCCTCTGCTTGCGTTTCTTTCTCTCTCTCTCTCTCAATAAGTAAATAAACTTAAAAAAAAATAATAAAAGGCTAATGAAAAGGAGGGAGTGTTTAAGAAATTATCACTATTAGTAGATTTTGTTTTAAATAATATACAGCTAATAGGGCCTGTCCTTTGTGCTTCTATTTCTGGGAGACTGAAAGTAGAAAAGAAGAAATTTATCTCCTTTCCCTTTCTCATACAGTATTTCTCACAGGTCTGATTCAATACAAATCTATTTCAATAGGATACCTACAACAGGCTGGGTAAATAAAGTCCATCCCCATCTTCTCAGTGAGAAACCAGAGATAACTGATCTAGCATTCCAAGCTAATACAAAGCAGAGCTCTTACCCAACCTTTGTTGTGGTTGTCCTTGTTCTTCCCAACTCTCAATGCAGGACTTTATCTGCTATATCAGTTAGTCGGTTGGATGGTTTATTTGCATTAAATTGCATAAATTACCTGTGGGTCTCTTTTATATGTCTAGGCTTAAAATACTTCAGGGGTAGTGTTTCTTGATTTTTTTTTCACATTCTTATTCTAATTCCACATCCTTACCCCGCATTCACTAAATTTCTCCGTCTTTCCTTAGAACTTGTTATTACTAAACCATTTTGTCCTATAGTGGAATTTTTTTAGACTTTTAGGCTTTCATGCTCAAGCAGCTGGTTGATTTCCTGACACGAATTCTGTGTCCAATGGACCATCATAGTTTTAAAAATATTTTCACGCACCCACATGCAAAAGAACTTCTGCATTCTTAAAAAACAGACATTTTTAGACGCACCTGGGTGGTCTAGTCAGTTAAACGTCTGATTTCAGCTCAGGTCAAGATCTTGCAGTTTGTGGGTTCAAACC